CCCCAAAACCCCAAAACCCCAAAACCCCAAAACCCCTTTAAGGAGTTTGAAAATTGAAAATTTGAATTCTTGAAGGTGGTTAGATAGTATTTTTTGAGACTCTGAACAATAATGGCGGACAGAGTATTACTCATTTGTGGAGACAGACAGAACTACATCATTACTCATACAGAACTCTGGAAGAAATTTCGAAGGGTATGATCATGGTTTATCCGTCCTTGGTGATTCCTTCCATTCTTCAAAGTCCTTTGAACATTCCTTCTCTTTCTGAGGAGGGCTGGAAACAGGAATTTCTTTTGGAAGATAAGGGGTTTCTTGTTGTTTAAGAGCAATCGATTCCCAGATTAAGGAATCAAAGAACTCATGCTTCATGATTTCCTCTGCCCCACCAGCTCCAAGCCGATTTTCAGGATCAATGCACAATAATTTCTTAAGGAAATCTTTGAAAGATGTGGATATTTTCTTCGACGAAAATATCTGGTTGTTTTTCACGAGTGTAAATTCCATTTCTCCAGTATTTTCCGAAAATTTGAGGAAAGGTGGGTAGCCAGATACCATCTCATAGAGGATAGCTCCGAGCGACCACCAGTCATTGATATGAGAAAGTTCATTTCCTTGGACCACTTCTGGAGCAACATAATGTGAAGTACCCTCAATTTGGCCCAAAAGTGTTGTAATATTCTGGATGTTTGACCTTCCAGGCTCCAAAATCTTTACATGTCCTTGTGTATCGATCATGATGTTGCCAGGGGTCAAGCCAGGATAGGTGACATCATTATCGTGTAGAGCTTTTAGAGCGATAACCATCTCTGCAGCGTAGAATTTGATCGCCTTTTCCTTCACTTGAAACTTCCTGTACAGATAGTCACTGAGCTTGGTTCCTTTTACGAGGTCAGTGATGAAATACAGCTTTCTTTGGGCAACAAAGTGATGATGTAGTTTGCTTAAGAAGTAGCAATTTATGTCTTTAAATGTCTGCTTTTGAGCAATAATCTCCTCCTGGTATTCCACAGGGAGATTTTTAAGTCTCACCACTTTCATAGCGTAATAGCCTCCGGTTTTGTTGCTCTTGACAGAGAAGACCTTGCAGTGACCTCCTCGTCCTATCTGAGCTCTGACTTGGAAATCTGAAGGACTTGGCCCGTTTGAATCAGGAATTTTTGTTTCTTCTGGAACAGTTGTTTCTGTGTCAACTCTCATCCCAGCTGTTCCTGAGGAGGTTGAGCTATCCATCCTGTTTTTGAGACCATTGGAGGTATTCTCGTCCAGTTCTCGAGGGAGAGGAGTCTTCCCCTCTGTATTTTCCTTCGAACTGATTCATTGACAACCCATTTTTAGTGAATTCAATAGTTTATTATTCATAAGGGGTTTTGGGGTTTTGGGGTTTTGGGG